CAACGTATAGATACTCGTCACCATGCCTATACATCGTACTCAACAAGAAGCAATTAGCAAATAAGATACAACTCCTAATCCCTCATGCTAAGGTTAGACCGGACACTTACCTCAAACTTCCACGGCCAACTCAATCCTCAATTACCGTCTTTCCTCTCGAATTCAGCTCCAAATCAATTGTATCTATACATAATCAACTTCATAACATCAATAAATGCTAAACAATTCGAATTCAATGCCTAATTATAGCTTTCTAATCATTCTTCCCAAAAATCTAAAAATCGACCCCGGGCCCGCTTGGTCAAAATACGAGGTTTAGACCAAAACCCGATTATCCATTCACTCACGAGCCCGAATATATAATTTATTTTAAAATCTGACCCCAAAACGAGGTCTAAATCGCAATTAATCAAAAAGCCCTAATTCTACCTAAATCCCTAATTTTCTACCCTTAATCTCATGTTTTAGGCCTAGAAATCTAGCTGGTGTTGATGAAAATGGAAGAAAATAAGTTAAAGATTACTTACCCAAGAGATTATGGTGAATAAATGCTTCAAAAGTCGCCCCAGAGCTTTGGAGAAGAAGAAGTTTATAAAAAATTTATGAAATCCCGAAAGTGTTATGTTTTTGGTCTTTTAAAATCACTGGGCGAAAACACTCTTCGCGTTCGCGACAGACCCCTCGTGTTCGCGATGGGTCAGGCTAGGTAACCCTTTGCGTTCGCCTGAACGGGCTCGCGTTCGGGAGCTTTAACCCCTTGATCCCTCGCGTTCCCGTCCAGTGGATCGCGTGCGCGCAGGGTAATTTCCCCATCCCCTGCCTAGGCCCACTTGGCCTTCGCGTTCACGTGGCCAGCATCGCGTTCGCGAAGGGATAACCCCCCACTATCTCGCGTTCGCGACCTGAGCTACGCATTCGCGTAGAAGGATTTTCCTTCAACATAATTTACACATCGCGTTTGCGAGGACCATCTCGCGAACGCGAAGAAGAACATATCAGTGCACCTGAACAGCTATTTCTGCAACTTTTCTTAAGTTCAAAACTTCCCGAAACACATCCGAAACACACCCGAGCCATCGGGGCTCCTAACCAAACACACGTACTAACTCAAAATATCATACGAACTTATCCATGCGATCCAATCACCAAAATAACCTCAATAACAACGAATTAAATCTCAAAATCAAAGAATTTTTCTCAAACTTCATAAAACATCAACTTTAGCAATTTAGGTCCGAATCACGTCAAACGATGTCTGTTTTTCACCAAATTTTTCAGAAATATCTTAAATCATATATAAGACCTTTACCTGGCACTGTAACCAAAATACGGGCCCGATACCAACATGTTCTAATCAGATTTCATTTCAAATTTCCTTAAACAATTTCAGAAAATAATTTCATTTAAAAATTTATTTCTCGGGCTTGGGACCTTGGAATTCGATTTCGGGCATACGTCCAAGTTCCATATTTTCCTATGGACCCTCCGGGACCGTCAAATCACGGGTCCGGGTCTGTTTACCCAAAACGTTGACCGAAGTCAAATTAACTCATTTTATAACCAAATTTTATCATTTTTCACAGATTTTCATATTTAAGCTTTCCGGCACCCGGACTGTGCACGCAAATTGAGGTGACTCAAAATGAGGTTTTCAAGGTCTTAGAAACACAGAATATAGTTTAAAACAAGAAGTCTAGGACTGCAATTAAATCACAAGTTTTGCTTGACTTCGTGGCTGATTTTAGTCCTTGGTTATTGACTTTGGCTGTTAAGGAAGCAATGTTGGTATTGGGAATGGCATCAGAAGTTTGGACCTTGTTTAAGGATGGAGCCTCCAACATAAAAAGATCCGGTCCTGGGGTTGTTTTAATTACTCATTCGGGGGAAACCCTGAGGCAGGCCATCAAAACTGTACCATTAACTAACAATGAAAACGAATACGAGGCTTTGGTTGCAGGACTTAAACTAGTTCGGGGATTAGGTTCTGATGTCATCGAGATCAAATGCAACTCCTAGCTGGTGGTAAACCAAGTATATGGAATTTTCGACGCCAAGGAAGAGCGCATGCAGAAATTCTTGAACAAGGTTCAAGCTTACTTACATGATTCAGAGAGTGGTAAATCATACATATTCTAAGGGAGGAAAATGTGGAGTCAGATACATTGACTAATTTGGGTTCATCCATAGAGATAAAAAGATCTGATTCTGGTGTTGTAGTCCAATTGCTGCATTCGGTGTTGGATGTAGACAGCTATTGCAAAGTAAATTCAACCAACTTGATTTAGGACTGGAGGAACGAGTTCATTGAATATATCAGACATGGTAATTTACTTGAAGACCCAAAAGCATCCCGGTCATTGCGGACCAAAGCAGCTCGTTGTTGTCTTGTTGATGGACAGTTGTACACAAGGTCGTTCCAAAGACCATTGGCTCTGTGTTTAGGGGCCTCAGAGGCTGATTATATGATGAGAGAAGTTCATGAAGGGGTTTGCGGGAATCATTTAGGTACAGACTCATTGGTTCTCAAGTTAGTCAAGGTTGGCTACTATTGGCCTCATATGGAACAAGATGCTAAAGCATTTGTACAAAAGTGCGACAAATGTCAACGCCATGCACAGTTTGTGCATCATTTAGCGATACTTTTGCATTTAGTGGTGTCTCCATGGCCATTCATGAAATGAGGAATGGACATAGTCAGTCCTTTGCGGCAAGGGCCCGGTAAGGTAAAATTTCTTTTAGTTTTAACTGATTATTTTACTAAGTGGGTTGAAGCAGGTGCTTACCAAAAAATCGGAGAAAGAAAAGTGATTGATTTTATATGGGACCACATCGTCGGCCGATTTGGAATTCCAAAAGAGATTGCTTGTGACAACGGGCACCAGTTCGTAGGATCAAAGGTCATAAAGTTTTTGGAAGGATTAAAGATCAAACGAATTACATATTCATCATACCACCCCCAGTGCTAATGGATAAGTGAAGTCAACCAACAAGGTAATCATTGAAACCTTAAAAAGAAGTTAGAAGATGCCAAGGGAAAATGTCCAGATGAACTTCCGGCGTGCTTTGGGCATATCAAACCACAGTGAAGTTGAGCTCGGGTGAGACACCCTTTTCCCTCGTATACGGTATAGAGGTTTTTATACCAATGAACGTGGGGGAGCCGACCTTAAGGTTTTCCTATCCAAAAGAAGAATCAAACAACGAAGCATTTCTGGTCAAGTTAGATCTGCTCGAGGAGCACCAGGATCTGGCATACGTGAGAATGGTGGCATAAAAGCAGAGGATGAAAAGGTATTATAATCGTAGGGCAAATATCGATATTTCAAAGTAGGGGATTTGGTTCTAAGGAAGGTCACTCAAAGCACCTGAGAAGTCAACGCCGGAAAGCTGGGATTGACATGGGAAAGACATTGCCGGGTTTCAGCTATAACCGGTAAAGGCTCACATGAAATGGAAAATCAAGATACAATTAAATTCTCGAGCAATTGGAATGTGACTCACCTCAAAAGGTATTATTGTTAAAGATCCTTGCGGGTAATGAAAGTATGGCAAGGTTTTTAATAAGGCAACAATGTAAAGCATACTACGAAGGGAGGATCATCGGAAAGCTGACCAACAGCTATGTGTGGATCAACTCATATGGCAATCAACCCGTGGATGGTTAAATAATCTTTGGCCTGATAGCATAACCCATCTCCCAAGAGTCTCATCGGCCTTCGGTAATAGATTGTTTACCTATCTACAAGCTGTTTCCATTAATGAGGAAGCGACGTGAAGTTTGCTATGAAAGAATGTCATCGGCGACTACAAGACCTCAAGTGTTCAAATTCTCATGATTAGCATCCTAACACTAGGGGGAATAATACATGGCAAAACACTAAAGTGTTACGAGAATCGGGGACTATTGGAACCGAGGTTGATGCCTTATTAGGACCGGGGACTGCATGATCAGCCCTGTAGAAATAAGTTGTATAAGTTAGCAACATATTTTGGCAGCTTTATTTACTTAAGCAGGTAAATGTTTATGTAAATGTACTTTGAATGATAGAAGGAATAAATCAAAGTACATTTATTTTTATTTTATTTCTTGTCTGAAGGATAATTTAATTTATTTTATCATTTGAGAGTTAACAAAAACTTCAAATGCTTATGCCGGAATAAACAAGAGACGTCCTCTTCAAGAGCACTGTAAACATAAGGGCTCTCTCTTATGAAACCCTCATAGTAAAGGGTAGATTCTAGAAGTATTTATGCCCAGAATCAAAAGCTTTCAGATGCAGAAATATTCCCGAGGCTTAAAGAATATTTTTTGCACAACACTTAGGCAAAAAGTTTCTTTTATTAATTAAAGCACCAAACATAGTAAGAGGTTTTGGCATAATTACAAAAGATAAAAAAAATTATACATCTTTGCTGCTAAAACCTGAAGGGAGAGAAGGGCATTCATTTTTCCTGGTGGGAGAAGGTTGTTCCGCTGCCGGTTCGAGACCTTCATCTTCTTCAGTTTCCACCTTGGATAGCGAATACTCAGAATTAGTATTCGAAGAGTCAGATACATCGGGCCGAGCAGGAAGGTTCTCACGAGCAGTTATCTCCAATTCCCGGGCCTGGGCAATGCAGTAATCGATGTTGGCAATGCCCTCTTTGGCCTCCTCCAAGGTCTTCCTCTTCATATGATACATGGAGTAGGTTTTCTCGAAGACGAGGGAATCTCTTGTTTCTGGAGTTTTGCTCGGAGCTTATTAATATTGACGTGGAGCTCTTCATTTTTAGCCTTCATTGCTCTGATTTTTGGATCAAGCTCGACGTTGGTGGTTGAGTGAAATCAGTTATGCTCCATGACTCTCTTGAGTCTCTCTTCCATTTTGGCCCTCCTCTCCTCGGCAACAGTGGCCTCCTCGATTTTGGCACGTAAGCCAGCCTCCAAGTTGTTAACTTGTTCCATGAAGGCAGATTCACATTCGACATCAGCAGTCATAGTATCGTGAAGCTCGAATCATTTAGCATTTGCTTCCTTAAGGCTCTCGTGTAGCTGGGCAGCTTCTTGGCTATGAGCCATCCTGTCTTGCTTAGACTGCTGCATTCGGGCCTCGAGCTCATCCACTTGAGCAACTTTGGCCTCCAACACCAAGAGGCACTCATCGAGCTGATTCCTCTTAGCCAAAAGTTGATGTGGAGCTGATCCATGAGCATTGCTCCGGCAAAGGGCATTCTCCAATGCCCACTCGGCCTCTTTGGGGTCATCGAGAACTTCGATGTCGGGGCACACAGCAGATCCCCTCGGAAGCCCTATACAAGTAAAATGACAGTTAGTAAACTGTTCTTAAGTTGTTTTACATAGATAAGATTGAAAGAAAGAAGAATTTTTCTTACCATGGTTCTTGGCTCTCCACCCGTAGTTGGGAGCCATTTCTTTCCATCGTCCGTTTTCCGAAGTAGTGATATCTAGGATTTTTTCAACCATTGGACCAGTCCTTGAACCTGTGGTGGTTCCCAGCGAGTAGCTGGAGCGAAGAAAATAAAATTTCAGCAAAGGAGAAAGTTTTTTCATGAAGAAAAGAAACAAACATACGAAGACTTCGCGCTTACGGAAAAGGTTCCATGATTCGGGAAAAACTGGCATTGTGGCTGGGATAATATCCTCGGTAGCAATGACAATGAATCGTTCCATCTACCCACAGTCATTGTTTTCATCAACACAGGTGAGAAGGGCATGGTGACGATGCTTGCTAAGGTTTATCACACCCCCGAAGAAAATTTTGGGGAGTAAAGGTTCATCATATGTGCAAGAGTTAGGGTTTCCCCGATCTTAGAGCACAACTGACGGAGACAAGTCATCGTACGCCATATAGATTGAGCCTATTTGTTCCCAGCAAATCTGGTACCGGTGGCAGAACTCTAAGATTATTGCGTCAAGTCTTTCACCCGACCTCAAGGTAAATGGACCCAAAGTGAAGGGGTATGTATAAACATACATGAATCCCGCTTTTGAGTAAGTAACTCGCTCTATCCCATTTGGGGCGATTTTGATACTGTTGTAGTTATAGTCCTTCTTCACAAAATGGATGTTAGAAGGACAAATGGAGGAAGGGTACCTATGAACAGGCTAAAACCTGCCACTTGTGGAATTTGCGGATGTTTTTTTGCTCCTAGAGATCAGATGCAATGCTAAGATGAAGGGGTAAGGCATGGTGGTAAGAGATGTGTGGAGAAGTTCTTACTGAGTGTAACGACCCGACCGGTCGTCCTGAGCTTTAGAGTTCCATTCGGTAGTTTGGGACTTTGAATAGCTTCATATTATGTATTATTACTTGAGTGTATGGTTGGTTTCTGTTTTCGAGCGATATGGGATTAATTTGAAAGAATGATTCCCGTTTTAGAAGCTTTAAGTTGGAAGAGTTGACCAAGGTTTGACTTTAGGGTAAATAGACTCGGAATCAGGTTTTGATTGTTGTGATAGATGTATATGATAATTTTGGACTTGTACGTATGTCCGAATTTGGTTTCAGAGATTCCTAGAATAATTCGACATTATTTGTCAAAAGTTGGCAATTTGAAGAACTTAAGAGTTGACTTTGATGTTATTGGACTCCAATTGGTGTTTCGAGACTTTGGATGGATCTATATAGTTGAATTGAACGTGTGTGCACAGTTTTAAAGTAATTTGAAGTGTTTAAGTGTGATTCACACTCATTTGAGAGAATAAAGCTTTAACAACTTAAGAAAAATTCTATTCAGTTTGAGCCTCGATTGATTGTTGTGATGTTCCCGTGGGTATTTTGAGGCTTTGGATAAGTTTGTATGATATATTTGTACTTGTTGGTATGATTGGATGGGGTCCCTAGGGTCTTGGGTATATTTTAAAATATTGGTTGAGAAACTAGTTAAGGATTTGAAGTTTGACTATGGTCAATATCGGATCAACAAGGCCTATTTTCGGTGTTTTGAGTGCTCGAGCAGGTTCGTAGCATGTTTTATGATTGAAATGCATATATTATTTGTGTCCGAGAGGTTCTGAATGAGTTTTTGGTGCTAAAACGAAGATTTTCTTAAATGCTGGTTTTTTTCTGATATAAATAATTACAAAAATGCCATTGAAATTTTCAGATTTCTTTTAAAACTTCAGAACATCATATCTTCCTCATTTTAAGGCCAAATTGGGTGATTGAAGAGGCTATATTGGATGTAATCTCACAAGGATCGTGTTGGGCTTATCAAACATGAGTTTTAGAATCATCTAGAACCTGAATCGAGCTGGAACAACTGCTGCATTTTTTTCTTGTTTCAGAATTCAATTACTTTTTCTCACGCGGTTTTGGAGCTCGATTTTGGAGAGTATATTTACAACTTGGATTGGGATAAGTATTTTTTACTCGGATTTGTTGTTATTTGATGATTCCAACCTTGATTGTAGTGTTTGATTAATAATTTGAATTGGAGAAATTGAGGATTTTAGTAAAAACTTTTTAAAACATAAATTGATGGGTTGAAGGCCGATTTGAGGTCGGAATTGAATAATTTTAGTATGATTGAACTTGTATCGAAATGGTTATTCGAAAGTTGTGAGTTTTGTCAGGTTAAACGGTGCGTGCCCAGGGGTGACTTTTTGGTTTTCATTAAAGATCGAAGCTTTATTATCCGAAATTATTTCCTATGACTTTTATTTATGATATTAAGTTAT